AAAAAAGGCATAATAACTTAGTAAGTCAGTTGATTGAAATATCTGACTGCTTTGGTCTTTCATTTACAATGCACCGTATGAAATGGCCAAATTTAAAAATGAAACAAGTCCAAAGAAAGAAGAAAATAAGTGCATGCATCAGCGATTGCCTCCTTCCCTCAGCAACTCTTTAAACCCGTCATCTGTGCTCCTTAGCATGTTAGCCAAACCCAATTTAACCCCACTTTGCATGACTTCAATGTGCCTTGGTTTTATCCTCTTCTCTAAACTAAAAGCGAAGAACTGAGGAAACTCCTTCAACTCCTCCAACTCCCCTTTCATCTCCTCGTTGAAGTACTCAAATTTTGGCTTGTAGTTGTTTTCTATGCTGAAAGTGAACAGCCCTGGACACCTCAACACCATACTTGTAGCCTCTTTGGTTGAAAACCCTATACTTTCCAAGAACTTCAGTTTAGGTATCAAGGTATGTTCCACACTAGAAACCAACAATACAGGATCTTGATAGGCCAAAGCCTCCAAATCTTTAAAACCAAGCCTTTGAAGATAGAACAAAGCTGGTTTTAGTTGGTCTCTGACACTTGAAGCAAGCAATCTTGGACACTTATTAATGACCTTCCTATAGTTGTTTTCTGGGACATGAAGGTCTTGGGAGAGGAAACTGAAAACTGGGTTGAGGTCAGTTTTGATGTTAGATGTTAAGATTTTGGGGCACATGCCAAAGATTCTAGGGAAGTCCTTTTGGTGAATGCCTTTGGATTGGAGGAAGGAAATTATGGAATGGATAGAATGGAGGGAAGTGGTGTGAAGAGAAGGGTTAAGAGAGAGTGCTTTACCTGAGTCAATGCCCATGATTTCAAGGCATAAGATTTTCTCTTTGATTTGGAGGGACAGATTTTGATGAGTTGATGAGTAGAGTGGGTGCTTATGGAGGAGACTTTTGGGTTTTGCTGCAGAAAGGCTGTTTGGTTGTTGGGAACTTCCAGGGGAAGATGATGGTTTCTGAGAAGAGATGCGTAGGGAAGATTGCAATGCAGTTGCAGCTGCTGCAGACATGGTCGAGAGACAGAGATGGCTTCCGGAGTTGTGTGTCCAAACACTGATCTTATTGGTGTGATTCGTATGTTATGTGACAATGACACGTGGCTATTGGGTTGAAACTGATTGGCTAGAGCGAGATCTCCTTTGGATGACTTGGGTGGACAATTTCTTGGTTGGAGCCGTCCCACGCTTCCTGCGTGTAATTGCTAATTACACACCCTCCTCTTTAAGCAGCAAATCTTTCTCCTCATTCGTTCCCCTCCCACTGCGATTTAAGGATGTGACAGCACCAATTGACAAACTTGTTTGTTTAAAATTTGTCCACTTACTAGATTGTATTGTATATTCACCATCTCGTTTTTCTGCTTAATTTTTACTCGTAACAAACAGGCTTTTAAAAGGTAGTTAAGCTTAACACAACATATAGAGTGCTTGTGAATTTTATCTGATTTCCTCAATATGATTTGTCACCGCGAGCAAACAAGTTGGCCAATTGTAATTTGTAATGACGGAATTAAAAAGAGTAAAAACGCATTGTTAGGTGCTAAGCAGAGATATACCACTGCAGCACCTACTCAAACTCAAATCCCATCAAGATGGTTGAGAGCCAACTTACAACAAACTCACTCTCTATTAAACAAACCAAAACCCAAAAAGAAATTTTTGTCCTCAAATTTGCATTGCATTTCAGTCCAGGATCAACATTAATGATTTTATAAACCAAAATCAAACTATCAGAAGAATTATTGTAGTCCATTGGCCACTCTTCCTTCCGCAGCTGCTGAACTTACAAATGCATTACGCAAGAAAAATATAACTGCTAAAAGAATGACCGAAGAAAATGCGGAACAAAATAAACTTATTTACTAGAATCAAAAAAAAATTAAAAAAAAAATCAAAAAACTAAGACAACCATCTATTCTGCCACATAACAGCATACACCAATCCCAATGCCTAATAACTATGTTATGTATCTATCATTTATCAACAATACCAACAACCGTCATCTTATTTGCAGTGTCATATCAAATCCCAATCCATGAAATGAAAATCTCACATAAAATTTGTAGCACCAGAGACATTTGTTCTTGATAGCAAAGTTCACAGTCAAACCACTGATCAAGTGAGTAATCATATTAATAATAGTCAGAAGAACCTGCTTAAAGAAGCAAAGAGATAATTTATGCAGAATAGACAGGTAGCTCACTTGAATAACACAAATTACTTTACCATGAAATACGGTTTTAATAAAAATGGAAGTAAGAATGACACAACTTCTGCTGGCAGCAGTTCCAGTGGCAACAACTGAAAAAGCTTCCAAAACGCTCCAACTGTTGAATGCTATTCCATCCTACATGACATTGACATACATGAAGGCTAGAGGGTAGTCATGATTAAATGGCTGCATGCTTAAAGTAAGCCTAAGCTACAGAAGAGCATTTTCTGTCAAGGAGACAATGATATTTGCAGTATAAGATTTGAACGTCTAGACTACTTGTTTTACTGCTTGTTTTATAGACCGAAGCCCAAATGTCTGTTATAACTTATATCACCATGCTTTCTTCAAATTATAAAATCATGACTATGTTGGCATATATCACTTAAAATATTAGAACAGTAAATCAATTATGTTTGGGATTTAGAGCAAGTTACATGTGCTGTTAACAATAGCGAGTATTTAACTTTGCGATGCCAATTAAACTCATAGTGCTAATGCACATCTCTTTCCATTTTTTTGGTTGGAGTTCAAAAGAAGGTTGCCTTTGTCGCTACATTTAACTTCAGGAGATTAAATGCCTAATGCTAGTATATATCTCCATCTTTTCATTTTTTCTAGAACTTTGTTGGGTTTGGCCATGATTAATGAACTTGTTCTGTAATCATAGGCATTAATAACCTAAATTCTGCATTTGTTTCAAAACTTGAGCTCCAAATTACCTATTTCCTTTTGTTGTTATTTAGACAATCAAAAGTTTTTCACTACATCTAGCCTTTCAAATTACATCCCAATTCTCATAAGAGCATTGAGGTATAATCAGATTGATAGTAAGATCCTCCTTTAAAACAATCAATAATATGTAAAGAAATTTATTTCCAGCCAAAAGGAAATGGTCGTAACAGCTCTGTTAACCAACAATTTAATTGCATAAAAAGCTAGCAAACACATAACCAATGCCCCTTTGCAGTAAAAATTTATTCTAGTTTTCCCGAAACTACACCCAAACTAAAATTTGTTCCATACCTAAAAGGATCTCTCGAAAACTTGTTCCAATAAGACAATCCAAATCCACTTAAAACAAGGATTACAAGAAGAAAGATGCCTAAATAGAGGGAGCTACAATCAATCATTTTACACAAGTGACATACTTACTAGCATTGCAGGTGTATTTATGCTTCATGTTTGACTGTCAATGTTGCCCATGACTTTTGTTCATAGAGTGCCGTCGAAGAAGCTTTTTACCAGGAGTTTGGCGATCATCCTGCACAAGGAAATAGCCTATTAGTTCTGGAAATGAGGTTAGTCTAGCAGTGTCAAGCAGATCAGAGGTTCGAGTAGCTGGTAGCAGCTGCTCCCATTATTGTCAAATGATAAGGCATGAATTATAACTACCTAGACATTAAGGGAGTTAGCTCTTTCCCAAAGAGACCAAGTTCAATTACAGAAATTATTAGCCTACATCTGACAATTCCCATCGAGAAGCATGACCACCACTAATTAACTAAAAATAATCCATCATCCAAAATTTTCCACCCTCCTTTGCTTAAGATGTAACAACTGCTAGCATTTGGCTCAATGATAGGAGCATGTATTCCCCTACTCAAGAAGAGGGTTTGATGCCTCTTTTCCCAGATATAATAACTGCCACAACAGTATTAGTTTAAATGAATATGAACTACTAAAATTTTTCACTCTCCTTTGCTAATGTTATGCTAATTGCTACAAAATATTGGTTTAAATGAATAAGAACTAACCAAATAAGGGAGGAGTGAACGTACCACAGCCCACAGGTTAAATCCTTACATTGGCTCATTAAAGCATAATTGTCATATATAAGCAGTAGGTCATAGCTCGTAAGTAAAATTTAGTGGAAGATGGAAACGTTCACAGCCTTGGACTCTTTTCGCAAAGGGCTAGAGCAAGGACACACTGATACAAACAGCAAATAATTCAAAAAAACATGCATGTACAGCAGGGACTAGCTAGACCATCCTCTTCTGATTGTTAAAAAGATACAAGTATTCTAGTAATCAATGAGGGCATTCAACAAGCTGTTCAATCAAGAAAACAAAAGCTAAAGTCCCAGATCCACCACTGTTCAGTATTAAGACAACTAACCTTATGCAATGATGCAGCTGACTCAGACTGTACTGTCTGCACAGGAATATGACCCAGCGATCGCAGGGCATCCAAGGCATCCAAGGTCAGCTGCCATCCACAAAGTGCAACAACATCAGCACTGGTGCTGGAGCCCGAGTTACTACAGCCAGCAGCAGCAACATTTCCATTCACCCAGGGGCAAAACTGGTTGTGATGAATAATTGGATCAAACTCTATAGCTTCTTCATAATTGCTTTCTCCTTTTGGTGGCCCTAAACATCAACTAGTCTTGATAAGGCATCCAGAACAGAGACAGGAAGGAAATAGAAACAGTGAACAACAAACAAATAAACACAACCTTTGAAATTTCAAACAGTTGAATGAAACACATAGATTACAGCATGGGCTTGTGCATTATCAAATCCACATAAACTAAAGTCTGATATGATTAAAATAAGTCAAATAAATGAATGTAATGTCAGTTAGAATTGAACTGGTACACATTTCCATGCAGATATGGCACACTGCTAAATGCTAATTATGTATAGACCAAGCGGTCTATAGAAACAAAAATATAACCCAGATAGATTAAATTAGTTACAGCCTAGAAGACACAAATCTTTATGATCCTGATAATAGATCATTTCTACTGCCTCAGCAGACTGAATGAAAGCAATTTCAAACTAACTTAGAGGGTTACCATTGAAAGCTATAGACAATTTGAAGAAAGATTACACCATATTAAATTCAGTGCAAAACAGACTTCTATCTTTGAAAGTTCCTCAAAAGTTATTTCAAATTATAACATGCGCAAGGTCAAATTCCACGCATGCATCATCATAATATTCTAAATGCAATGTAAGCTATTAGTCCTCAACGTTTACATCAACTAGTAACAGCAAACATAATAACAGATATTTAAATTACCCCCAAAAGAAATGAATGCAAACTGAGTAGTCATTTTATGCATAGAGGTTAGAGTTTGAAAATCTACTAAGAACTAGGTGATGCAACTATTGTTCAAAATTGGAACCAAGAGTTCCTAGTTCTCAAAAGACCCTAAAACCAACCGCATTTCGCATTCAACGCAATTTTTCATTCAATGCAAGAAGTTATTCAGTATAATATACAGGATATCTTTAGATTCGGGTTTCAAGAATCAAGACAATCCGAAATATGCAGGAAAAGAATCAAACTCCCAAAAAACCATGGATAATAGAATAAATTTATGCACAAGTGGCACAAAAACCATGGATAATAGAATAAATTTATGCACAAGTGGCACCAAAGAGGGGAATCTTGCTTTCATTTACATCCAGTTTTCTGATGAACTAGTTTATCATCTTATTTATGTGTTATTTTAGTATGATAAACACATAAAAAAAAAAAAGGCCCAAAACTACCAAAGAACAGTCCTAAAGAGCCTTCAGAAGTAAAATCAACGCTAATCTTACGGCTTGGATCTACCAAGTAAGGAAATAAAATTTACCTATCCCATGCGCAACAGCATAATCTGACTCTGGGTCTGGGTAAGGACAATTGTTTATGGAAGATGATTTTCCAGCATTTGTGACCTCTTTCTTGGGTGTTTCATTACCAGAGTACAGATTAGCATTGCAGGAAAGAGAAGGATGAGCACTGCTATCTGGGACTAACTTGCGGCTTTGGCTTATCTTTTCACCACTTTCAACAGACTCTGCCTTGGCAGAACCATCAACTTTTGAACCACTGTCAGCCCTTCCGAGAGAGCGAGACAGCATTTCTTGGCTGTCACCATGAGGATCCTCCCTATTTATCTCATCAGGAACAACCTCATCCATCAACCCAGGATCTGGAGCAGATTCACCTGTTTGACCCTGATTTTCAGCATCTTCTATTCTGGGTTCTACATCACCAACTACACTATCTGTTCTATGCACAGAGACATCTGCCCCATGGATTTCAGCTTCATGGCTGGCACACATACCAACACTCCCCCCACTAATTCCAAAACTGAGCCCATCCCTTGCCTGAGCTGTCACAGTTTCAGCATTGAATATTTCCTCACCATCATTTGTACTGCTGATGCCCATTTCTCCCGGAACTGCTTCAGCAGCTGGTTGGAAACAAATACTCTGCTGAGCTTGATTACTATAATTCAACTCTGATGTGTCATTCATGTCAAGGTGGCCATATGTACTTGAAGAGGGAAAATGGATATCATCGACATCCCCACGATAATTCTCAACACTTTCCATTGAGTCATCATCTGCACTGTGGCACATAGTATCCATAGCAATGACAGAGGATGCACGTGTTGAGTCTCTAGTTGAAGGTATTCCAATAAATGGCCGTTCCTTGCCTACAGGCAACGACTGCCATCTGCATAGTTTCAAACCATCGAATGGCTAGGACCTGCATCAGATGAGTCTCTTGGATAAGGGAGCAGTAGTATCAAAAATATCTGAATCACGAGCACGTTTTGAAGGCCCAGCAGAATATTGTCTGCCATCAGTGACTTCGTCACCATCACGATCAATGACAGTTCCTTCGACACTATCAGCCTGCTGCACCCGTAACTGTGGCCTGTCAACTGAACTGGCACCTTTTCCAGCTTCGCTTGCGAGAACTAGGACCCCGTGATTCGTAAGAAGCTGCTCGATCACCAACCTCACTACCTGATGGTTGCCCATATAAGATCCTTCCCATGTCTGCATCATTCTATTTCTGGATGTCATAGTTTTACCCAACTTTAAATGAAAGCCCCCAGCCATTGTAAGATTCAAATCAACATCAGTTTTTGCATCATTTTCTTCATCAGTTGTTCCTACTTCATCACGGTCTTCAGTCTGTTCTTTCTCTGGATCATCAGCAGCCAACCACTAATTCCACTGGCAGCACTACTCCACGTGTCAATCCCATTTTTTTGCTTGTATCAGGGATGTCAATGTTGTTGGAGCACACGAGCAGTCGAGGAACACGTTAAAAATCCAATATCCTGACAGCAGCACCACATAAGCTACAATCTACAAAGGTGACCTGAATTCAGATCTAGCTCCATGACTAACACTTATTTTTTCCAGAGTCCTTGGCTGAAGCAGCAAGAGCATTTTTGCTTGGTCAGGATCCTGTGAAAGATGGACCTGGGCTGCCGTAGGGCCAAACGACATCCATTTCTAGCTGATTGAGCAGAATGTTCTTCACAGTCTTGAACATTTAGAGCGCATCTTGGTTCCCATCACAAGCTTATCAGCTTTTGTGACTGCAAAAGGTAAGAGTAAGAACATTGAAACATTGCCCTTTACCAGCAAGAAAAAATTCATTAATATCTTAGCGATATATGACAATGCAGCATCTCTTAGGTTATCAAGTTCTTGATACTCTCTGATCTGGATTCAACTCTGTCATAAAATTCTGCAACTGAGACAGAAGGCGATCAACCTGTGGACCGAGGACACTCGCATATGTTCCATTGCGGATGCAGCTATGACAGGAAGGGACTGAAACTGCAAAAGTCCATCACATCTATCCCTGTATCCTGCAATTAGAGAGACTGAGGTGTTGGAGGGAATTGGACCAAGCTTTCTTGACAGCTGTTTCCTCTCAAGGACAAGCAACTTTGTGCAACATCCAGCTGCTTAGAAAGGCTACACCGCATCCTCAGCTGAGAAAGAAAAATTCCCAAAAAGAAGATAAATCATCTTGAAATGACAAATGGCAAAGAAGAGAGCATAGCATAGTGCATGATAAGCATGTGAAAAATGGTAAAGAAGAAGGAACAACATAGTGTATGATAAGCAACTTACTGCTAGCATAATCACGAAACTGCAACACGCCCCCCCCCCCCCCCCACAACACAAAAAAAAGGAGAACATTATCCGTACATTTAACTTCTGACAAACCACCCACAAATAGTTCGTCCACTTCTACGTTAGAATAAACCAAAACAATTTTTATTGCTATCGACCCATAACAAGAAAGCTATGCAATCATAGTATGAATCAAACAAACACATGTTTTATTCACATTTCCTTAGCTGATCTAAGAAGCGAATAGAGCAGAAGAAGTATTAAGCATCAACCACTTGGAAACATATACAAGACACATACATAAAGCTTCTTGTAATTATTCTTAGCTCAAACTATGTCAAATTAAATGCCATAACCATTCCCAGACAGGCAAAGAACTACAGTTTCTTTTCACAACTAATTTAAAAGAACAAGAAAACATAACTGCTCCAAACTGAGTTCTTTTATCTATTTGTCCATCTACCATGTCATTGTTACTATTTTTCTTATATATCGGTAAGCATGTCTCAAAGCATCTAATATGTAGAAGGACCTAGGTATTTGTGATGTCCATCGAAGCTGTAAACGAGAAAAAGAAATAGTCAAATTACAGCAGCTAACCTTCAGAAGCAGCCAGAGATGGGAGGAAGTAAAATGCAGGCATGCCCACATGTTTCGATGCATTTTATCAACATCTATATTTCCAACCTCTTGAGCACAAGCCAATGAGCTTGCAACCTGCAATTATTTGAAAAGGATCAGTTTGATGCCTTAAGATCGTATTAAGCATATTCTATACACCAAGAAAATGAATGTTTTAGACTTGATGCAACCACTTTTAACTCCAAGGGAATTTAGAAGTTTATATTAATGGTGGGTCCATGATGTCATTGTGATAGGCAATTGTTCATTTGTGATATATATCCGAGATCACATACAAGCAAAGAAACACCACATCAGTTTAATGCAACCATATAAGGAGATCCACAGCAAGGTGTACCTTAGGTTTCCCAACCAATTCATAGGCTTAAATGTAGCCAACGCTAGAGATCCCTCTTTCCATGGTCGGCATGAAGGTCTTGATGATCCAAGAGCAGATCCACCAGCACTAGTACTGAGTAGGTCATGGTGCTTGGGATCCAACAGAGTTGAAGCAGCTGTTGGAATTCTGTCCATGACCAGACCAATCTATACTGCAACATTTGTTGGAACAGCAGGTGAAGATGCCCCAGCAGAACTGATAAGACAAGAAGCATAAATCGTTTTTTTTCTTTTCCAAATTCTTAATGAGCATCATGAAATATCATTATTTCATATAAATGAATAAATTCAAATAGGTTCATACCTCTCATACTGTAGTACAAGTCCTTATATTTCAGTTTCTTTAACTTGAAATAACTTTCCTGCTAATGAAATGACATATTGGCAGACGTGGACCAGTTTCCATCTTTAACCCCCCCCCCCCACCCTCAAAATAACCACAAAGAGGGTAATCTGGGCTTAGCACGTCGACAAAAAACATAGAGTGATGTACAATATCCTATCTAGATCATCAAACCATTATCACTGTGTTCTTCCTTACTCACTCCAACTTGAGCACAATTTTTCTAGCGAATGAACATCATTCATTTCAGATCCTTCTATATTTTGCTCATTTCAGAGGCACAAATTTCAGCTACGGGTCCATCTTAATTCATGTAAGTAGAATCCAGTATTCAACAGAAAAGTGAGAACACGATTTAGTTTCCATTAAGCATGTTAAGTGTCTAGAGAATTATATAATAACCCTGTCTTTGAATGCAAAACTGAGTTAGATTCATTGTTTTAATTTTTTTGCTCTTGTTTTTCAGTTCAAGAGAGTGTGCGCCTGGATCAAACTTAGGATCTCTAGCCAACCCCACCCTCATTACTTGTCCTTCACTTTCCAGCGACAGCCACTTCGCTTTAACTAAATCTCAATCATTTTCCCTTTGCAAACATTAAACTCACTGTACTCCTCTTTTCTCCTCGCTTTTCCCAGCTGCAACACAGCCAAGAAATCTAACCCTAACCGACAGAAACACAGCAAATTGATTGTAATAAAACCCAGCTCCAAGAATAACAGAGATTGGGAAACAAAACCTAATTTGAGATTGAGTTGAAAGATAGTGATAGGAGAGAGTGGAGTTGGTAGGTACCTCGCAGCAGGAGTGGATCTATGGTCCACCAGAGCTAATAACTTTTCTTCATAGCAGCGCTTCCTCCTACCTCTTTGGCCTAAAGAATACTAATAGCAATGTCGACAGAGACCACGACTGAGTCGAACCGAGTAACTAGTTTGACGTTGTCTGCTCATTTTATAGCGAGTATACTTGCCAGGCGCGTGTAAACGAGTAATTAGTTTGCTGTCATGGATATGGGCCGGCTCTTTTTCTCGTATTTGGCCTCCAGCTCTCGCTTCTTTGAGCCTTCAAGTTATAAAGAAATTAGGAAAAAGATTACCAGCGGACTCACTTAATAGTCTCTAATTTTTGTTACTAATTAATTTTACTTTCAAAGCTTATATATTTCTAAGATTTTTGGAGTGGAAACTTGGTCACTTGCCTGTTACAAGGACTTGTCTCCAATTTGCCTTTGTTATATAGGAAGAAAGATATAAACGCAACACGTTTCAATCCCAAACACTATTTTTCTTTTTTCTTTTTCCCATCTTATTTATTCATAAATTCAAGTGATTGGTACAATTAGGTCTCAAAACAGCAGAGCAATAAGGTAAATGAGTTCTTTCTGAATCACAGCATCCAGCAGAGACAAACATAAAGCTGGCATATGTATAGAGTATTTTACACGGTAAAGTTACAGCCATCGGAAACAAGATGAACATTCCTTTGAGTAACCGGTCACTGAGGTTCGCCCAAGAGAACTGACCAATGCGCATTGTGGAAAAGGCCAGTCATCGCGATGGAGCAGAACCAGCAGCAGCTCCTGCAATCATTGTAGGAATATCATGAAAGAAACCCAAAGATAGAAGAGTCAAATTATTGTCACTATTACATGCTAGGAATGAAAAATTTTTGACAACTAAGAAACTGGCTTTCTAATTTCTCACATTTCTTTAATGTAAATAACTAAATTATAATAGAACCTAGAGCATGAGAGCAACCTACGCTGCTACATATAGGAAAGTTGATGTAATTTAGTTTAATTTCACTTGTTCATCATTCCAACAGAATATAACATTTCCAAACTGCTAAATCCTGACATACTATTAAGTCATGCATGTTAAGTTCATATATACACACTTCAAATATTTTCCAAAAGGGTGAAGGCTGAAGGGATCAGATGAAAACACAGCATATTTTCCCAAAATACGGGGAATGAGATTCCACTTAGCTCACACAGGCAACAACTCTTAACTTTCAGTCCTGCTGCTGCCCTAGTATGAATATATGTTCAATTTAAATTCTCCATTGAATTAAAAGCATAGGAGGATAGGTAATTGAAATTTCAAATGCACGCTTAACTAACTAGTATGGTATACTAACCATCCTTTTCTTCCACTTTTCCTTCCTCTGCTGTTTTCCAAACGATATCTTTTAGTCCAGTAGAGAGATTATTGTAGAACTGTAAATTGAAGAAAGCAGAGTGTGAATTCAAGGTCTTACAAAGCCAAGAGGTTAAAAGAAAGGGGAAAACACTCAGGTCAACTTCAAACCATGGAACCCCAAATTGAGATGCTTTTTGCATGACTTTACATGCTAAAATGATCGTGGTTATCAGCAAATTACTAAATGAAACTATCTACTATATTAACACTAAAGAGGCCTAGAATATCTATTAAATAAGGAAGTATATTAACAAGTAAACAACACAGCCGAACTAACATCAGGTCTGATACCTTGTGAAATTCCAGGGTATCTCCACCAGACTTTCGAAGTTCAACCATGCAAAGCGAAGGAGCCACCTGAAAAATCTGAAAAAGGAAAGAGGCACGGCCGGGGGGGTTATGGACCAGATCATCAATAACCATGTCCAAACAACTTTTAGTGAAGCAAAACGGAAATTATACTCAAAAGATAAAGACTGAAAGAGAGGTACCTCCGTTGTAACAGCCAAATGACCCTTACGTCCAGTTTTTTCTCCTAGAAGCTTCATCTGAGATGCGCAAAAAAGAAGAGAGGATTCATCAGAAATGAGAAAATAATTTAACATTTGATTACTGATTTGTAGTCAAAGTTCTAAAGAGATTATATATCATCTCAATTTAAGTACATATTAATCTTTCTATTTCAGCCAACAAGCCTCAGAGACATGGAAATATTCAAGTGCTTAATGCAGATATCCAATACTCCAGTTCTATTAGCAAGAACTTGATACCAAAACAACCTTTACCAAATGAAGTTGGTAAACAAGCATCAATCAAAATTTAATCTAGTGCAATCAAATATAGACCACAGCTTCATTGAACAGGTGATAAAGTAATTAACGAATAATAAAATATCATGATAAGTAAGCATGAAAAATGGAAAGTTTTTTCACATAAACAATAAAAGCAAATTCATCCATCTAAATTTCTTAAGAAGATCAAAAGCAGTCACAACACAAACAAGAGGTTAAACCTTGTAGTTGTTTTTCTTCACATCAAAACCCAAGGGCATTGCAGCTTCCTCTATTTTTGAGATTATCTCATTAGCAGGACATTTGGAAGCAAATCTTGTTTCCCGTTTAACAAGTCCCTGTAATAAAAGGAAATTGCATCCACCTTATCTTTCAAGGTTATGTATTTCGAGTAAGATAACAAACAATATCCAAGAGGTACCCATGCTTGGTCAAACTATGCAATAACAACATAACATGTCCCATCAGATTTAACAGATAGTCTAAACCTTTTTTTTAAGTTAATATTCAACCAGGCTGCATTCTCAAGAACTAAATTTTCAATTGCAGCAAAAAGGGACCAGTAAATAATGGAACACATGAATTATCTATTGCATGCTTTAAAATGGTTAAAATAATTTATGGGCTAACTCCTTAGTTCAAGAAGATTATCTGAGTGATATCTTTCTGTGACTTTGCAACCAAAGGGCTTCCACTTCATTGGATGAATCAAATTGTCATATTCTCAAGGGTTCTTTATTTATTTTGTGTTTAATATATTACAACTAAGTAAGATATAATTGGTTAACATACCATTTGCTTCTCGAACAGACTACTGAGGTTGAGACCCTGAGACGTAGAGATAAGTTCAAATGCATTCATAGTAGCAGGTACCCTAGGCCCTTCTTCTCGCCGTTCAACAACAAGGTTTTGAGTATCCTGTTACAAAATCATGTAGAAAGACTCATCTCATTGCATCGACACCACAAAACTACATTCCATATGTGAAAAACACAACTCTTACCCCTGATTCATTGAAAATGACGTCCACATCATCAAGACTAACATCAGCTTGCTCAAACCTAGGTGGAATATATCCTTTCTTAAACCACTCATTCTCAATAATCTCAGGAATTGTTATCCTCTGGTATAATCACAAGTATTAAAGAGTGAAAACTATATCCAAAAACAACTTAAAGAAAACATCAAGGACAGCAACCTTTGGGACAAAATTAATTCAAAAATACCACCAGAAAAACAAAAAACTTTGTACCAGGGAGAAAGAAAGAAACCATGGATGAAGGGGAAGAGACAAGAACTTACTGTCAATGGATTAGGGTCTAGGATTCTCTTGATTAATTTCTTTGCACTTGAGGAGAACCATGGAGGACAATTAAAGTCAGCTTTAAATATCTGCAAACAGGAAAATCCTTCAGAGAAAGCATTTTAAACATAGAAGAAACAACTAAAACTTAATTGCAAGTTAATTCATCAGCAGCATGACAGCATTGCTGTATGCAGATACAAATATGACTGGTTCTGTTTTTCTGTCTTATTTGTGTGCACGTGTACTTTTCTTATTTATATCCCCAATGTATTGTCCTACCTGGCTATGAGTTATAGCTACTTTAATGCCAAAAGCGATAATTTCCCAAGCCAACAACCACTAATAACAAAGGCATTTAATATTTTAATTTATTCTTTAAAACAACGATACTGATTGAGGAAATGGCAACTGGCTAACAATAAAATCCAAACCAATATTTATCAGGAATAAATTCTGTCCAGAATATGACACCATTTCATTCTTTGATAGATTTATGTCAATGATGACTTAATAACACATTTATCAAGCAAAATTGTTTACTTTTGAAGTAAAAGGAAAAAGAACTTTGAGAGACAAAAAAAAAGAACAAGCACCTTTTTATATAGAGTCATCAAATTGGAGTCCTCAAAAGGCAAGTAACCAGCCATCAAGACAAAGAGGATCACACCACAAGACCAAAGATCTGCCTTAGCTCCATCATAGCCTTTATTGTTGATCACCTAAAAAGTGAGAGCACAAAAACAATAAAGAAAAGGTAATGGATCATTAAGAAAAGGAATTGTGTTTGCAATAAAAGCAGATATACCTCTGGTGCAACATAATTTGGTGTTCCACACGTTGTGTGAAGTAACCCATCCTCCTATATCAAAAGGACAGCATAATCAGTTTTGAATTGTTTTATCAGTATATTACAAAAAGCAGCATGATAAAAAGCCATCCAGGAAGGAAAACCAAATAAAATGTGCTCCTAGGGTCTGCCATCTTCTTTTGCTACCCACAAAATTCAAGTGTCCAAGCAAGACTAAAACCGCGCACGTGCAAAGTGGGCACCATGTCATCCTTCACTGAAGTGAAAAAGTAAAGTGATGGTACAAGACAACACAGAGCACGCAGCCACAGAAGTAATCCATAATGAATATAAGATCTTGGGGAAATATTATAGTAAGATATTAAGACAGCACACTCACTCGAACTTGCTGAGGTAAAGCACTCAAACCAAAATCTGAAATTTTAAGAACTCCATTAGCATCCAGCAGCAAATTCTCTGGCTGTAAATTACAAAACACAGCCATGATATATCAAAGAAATTTACATATTTAACTGTTATAGGAAAAGGATTAATGAACACAAAATATATCCCACACCTTCAGGTCTCGATGGTAAACACCTCTGCTATGGCAGTAATCTACAGCATTAATAAGCTGCTGAAAATACTTTCTAGCTTCATCTTCCTTTAACCGCCCTCTGCTAGCCTGGCTCACGAACAAAACCAGGACAAACGCCAGAGTAATAACAGTTATCAAACACTGATGAACAACTGCGATTTGATTCTTCATAGCACTTATACTTTGCCAAAAGTAAAACACAAAGCTTTTACAACTGCTATCTTACAATTTTGTCAAAAAGTTCACCACCAGTCACGAATTCCAAAACAATGTATATTTTCGTCTTGCTAGCCATCACCTACACCAAGAATATTGCTAAAAGTTACCAAGAAGCATAGACATACCATACTAATATTGGTTATAAAGCCAAGTGGAGTCCTTTTCTGACAAAATGCCAGCTAGATTCCAAAGGGAACAACTACAAGATACAAGGACGAATTCATGGAGATTAACAAAATAACTAGATTAAGATATACAAGAGAAACTTCATGCCAAACCTCATACATATGGATGACATTTGGGTGTCTAATTAGTTTCATTGTTGAAATTTCGCGTTTAATCTGCAAAGGAGAAAGAGAATAAATACAA